TCTTTGTTGGAGCTGTTGGTCGTACTCTTGTGATGCAACGAACAGATGCGCAAAGTAACTGTTTCTGCGTGACTTCTCAAACAATTATTGACCCAGCAGCTTTTGATCGATTGGGTGACTCGAATGCCAGCGCTGGACTAGTCATGTGCCTCTGTTGTGCATCTCTCTACACTTTGGACTCTGCCGGAACGGCGAGGGCAAAGGAATTGCCTAGTCCATGGAGAGAAAAAGACTTGGGCTACTTGAGCAGCCATGGCTGTTGCGTGGGCAATGTTTACCCAGCCTTAGCGCATTTGCTTTGAACACTGGACCTTTTTGAATGGCTTGAAATGGTCCATCCTTAAATCATGGAAGAAACTCTATCCTCGAGCCAAGCGAAATTAGGGCACCGACTTCAACAAAAAGAAAAACATCAACTTCTGTCAAACAAAAGTCGGTTCAGTCGGTTCCCCAGAAATCTGGAAGCACAGCCCCCATCCTTTGTTTTACTGTCTGGGGGAGGCACACATGACATTGTGCCTGCTTGCGCAGTTCTGATGTCAATGGCACCGCAAATGCAATATTTGCGCCACTGACACAGCTTGACAGAACTAACGATCAAGCAAGCCGTCAATTCCAGTTGTGTCGCAGCAGGTCCGACTGTTGGCAAAGTACAAGTGATATCTCACAAGGACACGTTGACACCGCCAGTAAGCGTTGCATCATTGTTGCCTGACAGCACTAAGCCATAAAGCCAAGCTACACCGGAATGATCAGGAGAGGAATGATTAGTGTCTTATGTGTCTTGCAGAAAGCATATTGGGGTCACGAGAAGCCACATATGCGGTACAAAATGATCGATCATGTCCCGTCCTTGTCGTGCAACTGACAAGCCTCAGTGCTTTGGTGTGTGCTTATCCTCTGTCCCATAGTGTCTCTAATATTTTCTGAGACCGGAACTTCTGTGCGACTGATGTTGCATAATAAAAATAACATGTATGCATGTTCACACGAAATCACACTATATATGTATGTATATATTACATGTTTAGTATGCTATGTCTACATATGATACACATATATATATTATATTATAAACTATATATTATATAATATATATTATATTATATATCATATATTATATATTATATATCATATATTATATATTATATATCATATATTATATATTATATATCATATATTATATATTATATATATGTTTTGTATAATAGGTTATATATTATATATTATATATCATATATTATATATTATATATTATATGTTTTGTATAATAGGTTATATATTATATATTATATATAATATATATTATATATGTTATATTATATCATATAATATATAATATATTATATGTTATATATTAGATATTAGATATTAAATATTAAATATTATATATCACATATTACATATTATATTATATATGGTGTATATATGATACATATATATATATTATTGGTTCCGCCGTGGTTTCGGCATGTTATTATATATATGATATGTATATATATATATATGGTGTGTATATATATATATATTATTGTTTTATTATTATTGTTATTATTATTATGATGATTATATATATGTGATATATATATATATAAGATATATATGGTATCTTGGTTCTCATTGATCCATATGTCAAAAATCAGTGTTTCGCGACAGCGACATGTGGATTTTGCACATTCTTCTTTTTCTTTCTTTAATGACAATGTTACGGAGCTAAATTTTTAGGCCCGCGCAAGTTGCATGTTATGACATGTTATCCACAGTACATGTCAATTGTGATTTTCATGTTTTCCCACACGAAATACCACTTTTCATGAATTTCTTTGTTTTTTTATCCGGAATTGTCATTTTTTACTGCGGCACGTGGGGTAATATGAAGAGGTGTCTTTTTTTATTGGTATTTGCAATGAATTTTAACGTTAGCATGAAACGGCACATGTTGATAGTCAGCCTTTTTTTTGCTCGTCGTTTCAACGTCATCAGCCTGCTGCAACATGTTCTTTCTCAAAGTTTCTGATTTTCTTGTTTCCCACACGAAATAGCACATTTCATGAAAGTCGTTGTTTTCTTTAAGAGGAAAAGTGCTGTTTTTACTGCCGCTCGTGGTGTAATATGAAGGGCTGTTTTTTTATTGGTATTTGCAATGTTTTTTATGTTAGCATGAAACGGGACATGTTGATAGTCACCTTATTTTTTGCTCGTTGTGTTCTTTTTCAAAGTTTCCACGTACCATGAACATGACGTTAACATGCCCCACCCCACCCCACCCATCAACGTACCATGAACATGACCCATCAACGTACATGAACATGACATGTTAACATGCCCCACCCCACCCCTCCCATCAACGTACCATGAATATGACGTTAACATGCCCCACCCCACCCCACCCATCAACGTACCATGAACATGACGTTAACATGCCCCACCCCACCCCTCCCATCAACGTACCATGAACATGACGTTAACATGCCCCACCCCACCCCACCCATCAACGTACCATGAACATGACGTTAACATGCCCCACCCCACCCCTCCCATCAACGTACCATGAATATGACGTTAACATGCCCCACCCACCCCTCCCATCAACGCACCATGAACATGACGTTGACATGCCCCACCCCACCCCACCCCACCCCTTGCGGAAACCTGGGGCCCCGAGGGTATATATATATATATCATATATATATATATCATATATGTATATTATATATCATATATGTATATATATATATCATATATATATATATCATATATATATATCATATATATATGATATATATATATATGATATATGATATATATATGATATATTATATATATATATATCATATATATATATATCATATATATATATATATCATATGTATATATGGTATATAATTATTATAAGTATATGTGATATGTGATATATGACATATGATATATATATATGATTTGACATGTGATATGTATATATATCATAGATAATATAGATGATCTACAGTGTCCTTTAGTGTGCGTATGTGTGCGTAATGAGACTGTATCAGATTGTTTCGGTCATGGCCCCTTTTCTGAACAGGGCATCCCTGCGGCGAAGGCTGCGCAATCGCTTTGCTTCTTTCCCAGCCTAGGGAAACGAACGACAGTGAACAACGCCCATTGCCCAGCGCAGGGCATGCGAGCCTGCACCATCACATTTAAGACAAGTTGAAGTGTATCGTCATGACCTCAGAGTTTGGTGCTTTCGAATTGAATTCACCGGAGAAATAATGCCATCGGAGAAACGAAACCAGCGATACATTTCGTTCTGTGAATTGTTCTGTCTGAAAAGGGTTTCCGAAAGTATCCCAAAGATTCTCTACGATTTTGTCACTTTGGCTGAGAAAACTGCCACGATCATCATCAAGCTCAAAAATACGGCTCACCTGCAGTGCTCAGGTCAGGATGATTGTGGGATTGGTCCCCCATTGGTCCATTGGTCCCCCTTCTTCAAACAATGTTGTCATTTTGTTTCTATACTCAAAAAGAAAGGCCGAAGCGACAGCGAGGAAAGCATTCATACCAATATGCAAAGTTGTGCAAAAAAAAACATGATGCCGCCAGAAGCATCATCGGACTCATGGAAACTCGTCTGAAACAATGCTGCGGACCCTCTGCGAGATGGAGAAAACGTTCTTCTCAGGGTGTTGAACCTCGGTGAAAGGGAAGAGGCCCAAGCCGATATTTTCAAGCATCAGTGACAATCAGCAAACAAATAACTAACATCCCTGGTGGAAGGCACACATGATGACTCGAGATAACAGGAGAGTTAGCAATAGAAATTAAGATGAAATAAGTACATTTGTAGATGCTCATGCTTTTGAAACTGCCCTTCAAGTCCAGGTTGATTTCTGTCTATGGACGGGCAAAAGACAGGTTTACATCGGTTTGCCCTTCTGCGACATATTGCCTCATTTTCTTTGCGAAATCTGACCATGACTAGCTAAGACGTCAACAACCAAGGGCTGCCCATCACTCCACTTGGCCAGAACCTGGCCAAAACATACGTGTCTTGCTATTTACATCTATTTACTTATTTGATTTGAATTTGAACACCAGCTACATGTGCTTTCCGAATCGCAACTGTCTATGAATTAGTGCCACGAAACGTTCTTGAACTGCGTTGCAACGCAACACCAAACAATAACATGCAGTTCAGAGGTGCACAGATTTGCAGGTAAAGCCCGGGCACAGCTGGTGGCAGACATTTTGAATCATTTTGAAGGGGTGGGAAGCCTATGGAACGTGAAAGCCTTTGAGAGCCTAGAGTCCTAGAGCCTACAGGAAGCCAGCGAGGCCACCTGGTTCCCAAAGCTCTCCATTGCTCTCGAGTGCTTTCGCCGTCTGTTTCAACTTTTTGGATATATGTATTGTTTGATATTGTTTGATATACTATCCATTGACGGTGCCATTACCTTTGACACCTCTTTCTCTTGAAGTAGCATTGACGCAGCCCTTACAGTGCGATCTCCACTTATCTCCACTCTCTATTCAATCTCTATTCTCTAGTCTTCTCTATTGTCTCTTTATGTCTCTTTTCTTCACCAGAATTCACTCTTCACCAGAACTTCACCACTACTTCATATCTTCCGAGGGACGGAAGCGGAACCCAACTCTGCTTCCCCCTTGGCCCCTTGACTTTGAATTCACGCGGTGAATGCAGCACGTGCCTTGGCACCCTCCACCAAGGTCGATTTGATGCGCCGGCGCCTGAAACAGGAAAGTGGTCCATATATAATCATATATGTTTGTGTTTAATTGTGTTTAAATGTGTATATATATAATTATATATATATTATTATTTGCATACATATACACCTGATATTTTGATATAGATATTAGATATGTATTTATATTTAATTACAGTACATTGAAATACATTGATATGTAATGTACATAATATGAAGATGTATGAACTATCAATGCGCAATAACATGGTGGAACGACACAGTGACCATACAGCCCCTCAATGCCTCTCACTTTGCACAATTTGCGAATCTTACTTGTGTGCCACGGCACCCATTTATGGAATCTACTCCGCAAAGGATTCGAGGGCAGCTCAAAGTATCCTGACAAGGCAGGAATTATGGCGCTGGTAGCCTGGTTGAAGTTGGAAACTCTGAAACGAGTGAGTCTAGACCCATTAGAACATCTTGATAACATTTTTTTTGTGTCCTTTTTAATGCCTCAGTAGCCTTAGCGTTGACACGATGCACAAATGTTAGAGAAGGCAATCCTACCAACAGCGCTTGCAGCGAAAACGTAGACATGAATGCCCACTGTATTAAACGTAATGTCCGCCCTTTTTCACACGCCTGCTCCAATCTTACAGCTTCCCCCGCTCATGTTTTTGCAACTTTTCCTGAACCCAATGTGCCAGACCCTTTCCTGACTTCGCTTGGTGCCCACTGTGCCAACGTCCAACGAAGCAAATGTTGGGCTTGACAAGTAAACGTCCTGTCGTAGGTGTGAAACAAGGATGTGTCTCTTCCACCGAATCTAAACTTTGCACTACGAAATTGACCCACACTTGTACAATTTCAGCATCCAAATGGTTTGCTGTCATGACGAGCCAAGAAGTCTTCAATATGTTGTGGGTGTGTGTTCCTGAAAGCAATCAGTATCAATCAGTCATTTATTGGTGAAATAGCCGCGATCCACGAGCCAAACGCCAAATGCATCCCGATGTCATGTCATAGCACGTTCTGATTTGCGTCCTCGTAGGGTGTATCATCTCCAACCTGAAACTCTCCAGGGAGTAGAGAACAGAACATCGCCAAGAGCGACTCGAACAAGAGCAAAAGAGCATTGATACATATTGATACTATCATGAATCACTGAATCATCTGAATCACTGTACGAATTCTATCTTTAGCTGCATGACTTGGCATGGACATTCTGTGTCATTTTGTATACTATGTGACTGTGTGCATCTATGGACAAGATTGCAGCAAGGCTGCAAGATCCAGGTGCATGTCCATCCCAGCTTTGCCTTGCCAGTGATCAAGGGCTCGTACTCCAAGTCACGCCAAACCTTACTGCATCTGGGTCAGGTCCAGATTGGTAGTCTGGAAGCGTTCGGTTTTGTTGATGGCTTGCGCAGGCCTTTCCCCACTCCCATCAACTCCCAACCATGAGCTTCACACAGATTCATACCTCAATCTGCTCCCAGCCCTCACCTGCGAATGCAGCTAAGCTGCACCTTTGCTTAAGCCACCGATGAAGGACAATAGCACTGCACCTCCACCTGCCCATAGCTGTCGCCATCTAAGCTATCCCAAAGTAATGAACAGAACCTGAAAATTCGTTACTCCCTAGGCCCTAGACGGTCGCTTTGCATTCTTTGTCAATCCGATTGATCCACTTCAAACTTGACCCTTTTGAATCTCACTCCACAGACCAGGTCAGCATCCCATCTACCAGGTTACTGACTCATACCGATTCTCTCCGCTCTGGTCTGGTGTGATCCTTATCAGCTAGTTTGATGGGAAACAATTGTTTATAGATGATGATAAATTTTATAAATGATAAACCGTTGATAAACCATCAAAACTGAGGTAGCCTATTTGCAGACAAACCGATATCACATCGTATCCCCATATCATTTTGTGAACCTTGGTCCACGAAATTGATGAGACGTGCAATGCGCTTCTCGGATGGAGTCCACGGCGCCAAGACAAAGGCAACGTCCACCTGCAGGTGACTCCAATGAAGTGGAGCATAACATACGTTTAACATACATAATTCTACATTGATACTGTATATATACACACATTATAATATTACATATATTACATACTGTATATTGCGGTTGTTTACATTTGTTTACATTCTTAATGAATCCTGATGAATCCTAATAAATCCCGATCAATTCATTCCTTTGGCTTTGTTGCTTCAGGCAAAACTGGCAAAAAAATGCTGCGTTTCGGCCTGCTCCATGATGATTCCGCTTTCCGTGCTATCACGCACAGATGGTGGCCTAGCTCATGTTAATCAGCAGTAGGATCCGTAAGTGTCTAGCATGTTGCAAGAATGTTTAGGTATTGGAAGTGCTGTGTGACATGTGAACGTCCTGAATGATCCCTCAAATCTCATAGAAAATTTAAGTGTTTTCAGCGAAATCCCATGGAAAGATATGGAAAGTGCACAGTCACATTATTCAGTTCCATCAAGTTCCATCTCTGAGTTGCTCATCTGACAACGTCTGACCATATCTTACCATATCTGACCTGGCAAAGATGTTCTCGAGGATTGCTTTGCCCCCGAGGAACTCGATCTCCTCTGCCACAAGGGTAGCGGCCTAGGCCGAAAGCAGGTAGCGAACAAAATCCAGAATCGAACAAATATCACATAGAATATATATATATATAAACTCATCAGAATTGATAGCAATATTATGTGTAGTATGTATATGCATGTAATATATATATATAATATTATATAATTATATATATATATGTAATAGACAGGATCCATGTGTCGGATAGCGTCAAGTCGTGTCGGTGTGTCTTGACTATGAAATGCTCAGGCTAAAGGACCATCATTGTATTTCCAAGCTATGCTGCGACATGCTGGTCACATCTGGCCACTTGATAATGAATTCCTTCCTTGATGTCACCTGCTATGCTTGACAGATCTTGACAGGCACTAGGAATACCTAGGAATCATCCGCTCTGCCCATTTACAAGCACATGAAATTCAGGAAGCAACGTCTTCAAACATCTTCAGCTCAGCGACTGTGATATTGCGCTCCACGTCTTGGTCATTTCGTGCATCGGTGTCAACCGAGTACATGACCGCACCTGAACAAATTTGCCCCTTGGGTGGCTTTCCACTATGTTCAATGCACCTTGTTTGCTAACTGCCAGCAGCAGCCAGCAGCAAGTTTTAACCAGTCAGTGCTGCGGACAAGTGTGTATGTGTATGCCAGCGATGGAAGCCATATATTTCTAGACTCTACTTCTGTTCAACACAACATCCCAGAAAGGATATGCGATTGCTCTCAAGTCAAATCACGCCCAAAAAAACGTGGGGCTGACAAGCTAAAAGCGTGGCTTGCTGGGAACGATTCCCAAAGGCTGCAAAATTGTCCAGCTTTGGGCTTGAGGTTCTGGCACACCATGTCCTGATGAGGGTGGTGTCATCTGCGTGTATGGTACAATAGCTAGTGCACTGCGTGCTGATTACAAGCGTTCCATGATGACCTACAGTAATGTGCAATTGAAAATGAAAGAGGGCCACAGTATCACAGAGTAGTCCAGGGCAAGAGTTGGTGTATGAGTCACAGCATGTCACAACATCATTCCACGCCATTCTCTGAATCACGAAATCACATGAACGTTTTGCTCACACTCACCTTCACATTGAGATGAAACTCGACTGACAAATTACCTCACAAGTACACCAGTTCATACCAGTTGACGCCTTTACGTTCTCATTTCGACAGCCTATAGGCCCTATATCTATCACATCTTTCGACGCCTTGAAGGGTTTGCGAGGATTTGGTGGTGCAGGAATCGGCCGCCCTTCCGAAAGGCATTGCTCTTGCATCAAGGCCTTCAGCCGCTGGCCCAGGGGCCCAGTTTTCAGCCAACTGACAACGAAAATGGAAATTGAATGCGGGAAAACGTTCTAAATGTTTCCACTGTATTCACATTCAATGTCATTCAACAATGTCAGTCTACTCTTCTTCTCAGGCATCACGGATCTATTTCTTGGCAAAATGCAGAACTACAGAGTCAAAGGTAGAATGAATGCCCAAACTTGATCAAACTTGCATATCTAAGCCCGCAAGAAACTTTATCCCGCTAATCCAAAACAAAACGTTTCCGCCAAGCCATCGCCTGCAATGCGTGGTTGCCATTCCGATTCAGGACCTGTCAGCTGCACATGTTCTGCAGAGTTTGTGTGAGGCACTTACTGACTTTGAGGAACATGGGACATCATGGGACTGCAAAGGCCCAATCTCACTACCACATCTGCACAAAAAAACGATACATGTTTTCATGCAAACAAAATAAACAAAGCTGATCAATAGCAACAAGACAGTTCACAATATAATATATATAATATCAATCTAAATTGGTGGGCTTACAAATGTCGGCATCATGCTGGGATTTGCCCCAAAGAAGAAGACTATATTATAATATATATATATTATAGAACTTAGATGAACTTAGAATATTATAGAAGGGCATAGAAGAGCTATTGTTGCTCTACACAGTGGATTGCTTATCCTTCCACCAAAAAGGCAACCGCCATGGCGTTCATCGCGGACAGAGTAATGCCTGCCTTTGACCAAATCAAGGTCATCCTTGGAATCATGTCCACTTGGGCAGCCCTGACCTTAGATTTGCAAGCACTATGCAAGCTCAAGTGCCACCAGTTTTCGGATTACGCAGCCTGAAATGTTTGCTGAATTTTATTGAAATTTGCTAAGCACAATGCTCTTGTACAAGGTGTCAATTTAACTCACATCACACCACTAAAGGCCCATCTTGTGTGGAAGGCGCTGTGAAAAGCACTAGGCACATCATGCCACTGAAGTCACATCACGAGCGCTGCTTTTTGCAACAATGTAACAATTCATTGCGGGCCAATGAATCCGCAAATCCGTTCAAATCTTTTTAAAAAAATGAAACCCAGGAAAGATGTGCAGCTTCTTTCTCCCCATGGAATTACAAGAAGACAAACGTCAACTATGGAGCTGGGTCAACGATGGAAAAAGCGAGCTAGCATGCTGGTAAAACACCAAGCCAATAATGAACGATTCAACAAGTTCAAATCACAGGATAGACAGGATAGAAGTAAAAAAACGGTGCTATTGGCAGATTCTTTGTGTTGTGGGTGCCGCTCACCATGCGCCTTCAACAGGAAGATGCGACTAAAGTCAGGAAGTAGTAGGAAGATGCAACTTGTAACCGTTCACAGCTGACTCCTGGCCATCCTGGCCCCAGGCCTTTGGTGCTGAGGGCATCACGACGTAGTTGTTGGAAAGAGCTCCAAAACGGATCCCCCTTGGCCGGAGCTCTCCCTTGTTCTTTCAATTTCTTTCATATAAGTTCATCTATTTTCATCTTCTTTCAGCTCCAGTTCTGGAGCTCAGGAGTCACTGCTTGATTGCGCTCTACCACATGAAACCTGAATGCATCACATTGGCAGCACTTGGCAGATTGTTTCCTGTGTGCATGTCTATATAAACTGTCTATCTTTTCTTTCTTTGCATCGCAGCTGCATCCTTTGGTTATCCCCGAAATCTCTCAACCACTGGCATCAGTTGATAATCCAAGCCCTCGACTGCCAAAGTTGCTGAGCCTGCAAAAAAAATCACGTAGCGGTGTAGGGGCAGAAAAGTTCTACTTTATGAAGTACCAAAGTACCAAAGTATCCTTACTTCTCAGCTACGCATGCTTGAGAGCCACAAGGCAAGTTGATCTGCAAAATGACTGCAAACGTAAATAAATGATAAATATGATATAATAAGATATAATATAATACAGTAAAACATGTAAAACACAGCAAACAGTTGTTCGTGAAAAACGACATAAAGTTCCGGGGTGGATCTCCCTCGATGTTCCGCTTCATCCTTGGCACATCTTGGCACCTCGTCACCTCGGCCGCTGGAGATTAGACTACTGGCCATTTCCACGACGAAGTCGAAGATCTGACAGGCTTTAATGGAACGAATGGAATACAGTGCAGCCACTGCCATGAAGAATATCAAAGGATATGGAATGATATGGATTTAAATATATTTAAATTGTTTCAATCTTAAATGATCAATGACGGGATATACAGTTATACACAGTTATACAATGTTCTACATGATTGGTTGTACTGGGATAATAATGGGATTTGAGCCCAAATGGCATGTCTCCCAACTGTGGAGCCACGTGTCAGACATCTATCAATGATGCTGCTGAAAACATGATAAGAATGCTTTGCCGTCTGAGTCTGCGTATTCAAGTAGTTTGCAGTCACAAATCAAACCTTGGATTTGTAGATCTCGTTTGTTATCTCTGTGCAATACATAGCAACCATACAGCACTTTGGTTCAGTCTCCCAGCCCCTTAGTGGCAATTTCAGGGATAACATCCAAACATGCTCAGGAACATCATGGAACATCCAAGCATGATGCAGGCCATGCCTCGTTTTCATGCATAATGGAAATGTCGTCTCTGCGTAGAATCTGTGCAAGTGTGCTGGGCGGTAAGCGCCTCAGAATAACAAGAAGCACTTCTTCAAAACTTACATGAACTTACGCAATGAGTTTGTAAAGCCACAACCCCGCTTTTCTCATCTTTTCTAATCTTTTCTCTGCGGACTGCATGTCTTTCCCGTCTCAAGATGTGAAAATACCACTCGGCCTTTCCTGAACCTGTTCCGGGCCTGAGGTCCTCCACCTCGTACTGATCAAAATGCTCAGCGATCACATCGGATGCTGCCTTGATGATCCTCAATGTTCAATGGAAATCTGGGAAAATGATGGAAAATGCAGTTTGTCTGACAAAGAACAAAAAAGTTTGTCAGACTTTGGCAACTCGTAGCAATTCAGCGAAGCTCAGGTGCAGACTGGTCTGCCAAAGGCCCACCAAGCAGCGAAACGCTGTCAGACAGAATCCTGACCGGTCAAGCCGCGAAAAAAAAAATATTGTGTATGTATATATTATATATATAATCACAAGTGAGCAATAGCCTTCAATTTCGAAAATCAGATGTTTCATATGTTTTCATTATCAATTCATTGTCCATATCCTCACCTCCAAATCATCCAATTCGCTCTTGGGCTTCGGGTTCCGCTAGCCCAAGAGGCTCACTTTGCACCTGGGGGCTGTAGGAACTGTGAGGATATCGTTGATGCTCTCCACACCTTGGCACGCTCGCCGGATGGAGACACCATACGGTCACCATACGGATGCAGAAAAGTGAGAAAGATCCAAGGATCCTTAAAAGGCAAGTCATAGTTTCATACTGTTTCATACGGGTCCATAATAGTCCTATATATATAATTATATATAATATATATATATATCAATATATTCCATCATGTTTATTGATGTTCCATTGATATCCATTTAATTAATGTCCGATCTGATTCTGGAAAATCTGTCTCCATGACAGGCGAAAGCGAAGTGCACCAAGGGTGTGGTTGCTGGCAGCTGCTGTCACAAGGCACAACACATCACAACACAACATACAACCTGCAATGCCACGAATGCGAAACAAGGCGCAACGAAGGAAGAGCGATCTGATCTGCAAGGCATCTGCCTTCATTCTCTGCGGTTCAGAACGGCAGTTTGTTTAAGCAAACTGGACTGTTCTACTGCTTCGAAGCGTCAAAGAAAGATGACAGGAACATACGAGAACTCACATGGTAGCATTCGTGCACTGCCTTTACATCAAGTGCGTATACATCGTTGGTGACATTAAGGCGGCTCACATCGACTCACGCTTATGTATCCTCGTGGCTTCAGGGATCTTTTGCGTTTGTCCAGTCACTGCATGTCGCCCTATCGTCCAGCTGAGATCAGCACACAACGCAACAGAGGCACTGCATTTTCTTCGTTGAGGACAAGGTCCTGGCTGAGCTGCAGCTGAACCCCAACAGCCCCAACAGCTCAACAGCTTCCAAGGCTTGAAGGAATGGCTAGAGTGGCTGGAGATCATCAGAGATAGCTTGAGCTTGAAACGTTTGAAATCCGGTGCAGCAAGGGTACAGACTGGCTGGACTAGCTTTTTGGGCGATGAACGGGCCTCTGAGTAGATGAAATCCAAGGCTTGGCTGAAAAAGGGCCAAACCTTGAGGCGACGCATAGGCCGCATAGGTCACATAGGTCACATAGGTCACGTAACTGGTTTGACAAAACAGCTTTGATGTCTTTGATACCCATCCGTGCCTGTTCTGGCAGGATGTGTGACAAATCGGTCTCGTTGACTCGATTCAGGACTGGCCAATGTGCGCTGGAGCGCTGCTTGGAGTTCATTGGCGAATTATTTGTGATTTTGTTTGAATATGTTTGAATGGTAAGTTCCCTCAAAGTCATTTTGGCATACCAGCTTACCAGAATCCGTTAAACGGATTGCGAACCAAAGGCATCTTAAAAATCTGTGATTCAATATGATTCAATCAAGGGCTTGGAATCACCTCCCAGAAGAAATCTGAAACTGTTTCGTGACCTGTTCTCTATGTTGCAGTTATTGTGAAACCCGTCGCTTCAAGTGGCGCTGCCTTTCGAATCGCAGTCTTCGCTGGGACTAAATGCCTGCAAAGGGTCAGGCTGATACTGAGACTTGCTGACTGGGACAGGTCCACCTGTTGTGTGACTACGCGTGACTGACCATCCTGGACAAGCTAAAGGAAAAAAGCGCGCCAGCATTTAATTAAGATCATGTTCGATACGCATTCGCGAATATTCGAGCCTGTCCAGCCAGCTGTTGCCCAGTCGTGAAGGCCTTAGAAGACTACCGAATGCAGAGCTAGAGACTGGTACAAATGTTTCAACATGTTGAAACATGTGCAGAAACATGTTGAGATTTTGAAAATGATCATCTTAGCTCATCGTGGATGCTTGGGCTCCCCGACGCTGCAGAGAAAGGCTGAGGCCCGTGGCCCATGGCCCGTCAGCACCTCCCATGAAAGTTGAGGAAACAAAATAGAAAAACAAAAAACTAAGGGGAAAAGGAGATATGTCAGATATGCAGAATGATGCAGAATGATGCAGAATGATGCAGAATGGTCCAATTTTGGAGAGATGTTGTACAATGTGGAATCATTTGATGTTTTTAGCAGAAATATCATAATATATCATAATATGACTGTTAATACAATGGTATATAGATACGAGTCTTGCTTTTACGGGGAATGTTCGAAAAAAAAACTGGACAAGATTTAAGACTTGCCAAGAAATTGGGGCAGTTCCCTGGACCCATTTGATCTGATGAAGTGTGCTGTGCTGCGCCCTGATTGAGCGCTGATTCAGCCACGGCAGTGACACTTCCGATGTGTTTCTATGCGGTTCTGGTCTTTGTTGACTCGTTTTTCATGAACCAAAGATTCTTGTCACAGAGTGTTTGCGTATTCCAAGCCAGTTTAGCCCGTGCCAATGGGTCCTCGGACCTTGTGAATCTGAAACTCCGTTGGCCCCAACCGAAGCCTCCAGTCCTAGGTCGATTGGCCATGTCAGTGGTGAAATGTTGTAAAATGTTGTGAAATCGTGTGCATGTCCAATGTGTAATTTGCATTAAAGTGCCGACCGGAAACCATATTAAATAATGCTAGTGTCAGCTAGAGAGACGGTGTGCTCCCACAGCCTAAAGCTGAACCTCATGGATCTCATGGGGATCCCAATGGACTGTTTAAGTGTTTGGATCTCTTTTACTTTTAGATATTTTTTTAGATTCTTTTAGGCTTCAATGAGAACTCCACCTGACCTGATGGCAAAATGTGATCCCTAAGGTGGGGACGCTGTGGAGTCCAGTACGCCATGACGGCAACTCCTGCAGGGAAAAAGACAAACTAGTACCAACAACTGAGTATAATGCAGAGCGCTCATCACCTGTGATTCACTATCATGGTGTCAACGCGGCACATGCGGCGCACCGTGTCAGCATCAGATGGTAGTTCCGGGAAGGGCACGTCAACTCTTGCAGATCGCTTCGCCTCGTGCATTCAGTGAAGAGCGTAAAAATGAGGGTCGACTAGTCACGACTAGTCACGACTAGTCACGACTAGTCATGCGATAACTGGCATGTCTTGCTTTCCACTTAAAACATTGTTCCTGTGCTATGTTATCATATTATGAAAATATATGAAAATATATGATATCATGTGTGATCTATGTGCAAGCTGGCAATAACTGCTATCCTCGCAGGTGTTTCTGTTTTGTCGTCTCTCCAGGGCCTGCCAAGTTGCAGGGGTCGGCAGCGGTGGGATCATCGTTGCCATCGTGGCCTCCAGCTGTCAAAATCGACCCAGATTACGACAAACTGAAAAAGTCCAAACGCTTCATGATGTACACATGATGTACACATGATGTACATATGATGTACACATGGAAGATTCTCGGAACAATGGTTTAAAATGGTTTACACTTGACATGTCCTTGCATTGTCTTGAATTATTTTGCGCTTGCAAATAATTGCAGGCGGGCGTCAGGTCAAATCAGAAACGGCGCGCCTCTATGCTGCGGTCTACCACCGACAGGCTCGTCATTGTTCGAGGAAAGCTTCGCTCCGCTGCTCCAGGTGTTTCGTTTTCACGTGATTTGCCCAGTTTGGCCACTTATCACTAGAACTATCTAGAACTTGAAAAGTCCTGCTATGTTTTGTTACCAGATGTTACCAGTCATTAGGACAAACTTTGTTTGTTTGCGGGTCAAGACAGTGCACCACGGAACACCTGGAGCTCTCGTCCTGCCGACAGCATCCAATGAAAAATGATGCCATGATGCCATGACATGCAATAATCAAGTTCCAAGGCAATGTCATGCAATGTCTATGTCACCCTCCAAAATCTGTACAGGACAAATGCACTAAAGCACTTGTATTTCCTCTTCCCCGTTTTTTGGGGGTTGCTAATCAAATGGACAGGTACAGTTGGCTAACTTTGCACGGAAACTGAAACGGATGATTTGTTGACTGTGCGCAAGGTGTCAACAAGATATGTTCATGGAAAGTACGCAGATACAAAATTTGGACCTGTGCTGACAGAACAGCCACCAGCAGTCCTGATTGAACTTGAAGAAGGTGAAGAAGTGGGAGGTTGAGTTTGTTCTGCCAATATGCTGTTGTCAGTCTGACAAGTCTGCTGGTCAATGCTGAATCATAAAGTTGGCCTACATGAGTGCTTTGCCGCCTTATCTGAAACATGAGTCCTGATACGCTTTGTTGTATAATCAGAGGATTCGCATCTTGATATGATAATAAGATAAGTTGTGATACTGCTACAGCATGCTGTGATGATTTGGAGCTTTGCAACGCTTTGCAACTTCGATCTGTTGGCTTATCATGGCATATTTGATCTGTTTTGATCTGATCTGTTGTTGTTCTGCTCCAGGCGGCGGGAGCGGTGTGTGTTGGGAGGTGGATGGGTTCAGAGCTGCCAGCTATGCCGGCACTTTGCCGCACGCTGAATCCGCCCTGTCGCCATCGGCCTCAGCTTGAAGCCCGGGCAAATCTCAAACAGCACAACTGGCAGCACAAGGATTAACAAGGCGAACAAGGAATATATGGAATCTGATTATGATATGATTATAATTATGATTATATATGATTATATCATATATGATATTATATTATGATTCATGATTCATGATTCATGATGGAATTTCTGGGTGATGCCAAGTGCATCTGGGTGGTTTTACACTGATATACCTGGAGTAGTTTTCAGTACCCTCCACCAATCTGTCCTCTGATTTGTAAGATTTTGGTTGCACGAATGCTAAGTGCGACACGCTGATTTGGAACAATGAAAACGTCGCCTCGGCACTTCATGGACCAAATTGAAGTGGCTTGGGATAACCTAAATTGGACCCTTCTTCCAGGATCTTCCAGGCAAATCACAAGTTCCAGTTCAATCACCAGTTCGTGTATAAGAAAGACCTGACGTCCGCAATATCATGTTCATAAGCTTAAAAAATGACATTATTTGGGTGCACTGCCCCTCCCCTAGCATGAAGTCCAGGGGCGATTCAAGCCTCGTCTCGATTGGAGACTTGAGCTGCTCATTTGACTGTTTCACATTTTGTCTCTATAGAATACATATATATATATACTATATATATCTATATATCAATATAGTTTATTACTTTTCATCTTCTTAGTCTTATCTTGTAAATGACATCAGTGTCAGTATTGATACAAAAGGAGCAGTTTTGGGATGTTTTGGGTACGTACATCATGCTACATCAATCGATGGTCGTGCTCGTCTCCTTAAAAGGGTGCCCGTGCCAAGCATTAGATCGGTCTAATGATGTCGTTTACATTGGTTCCAGATAGGAGATACTCAAATACTCTTGCCTTCAGCAATCGAAAGTGTCTCGTCTCTGTGCGAGCAAGGAGCCAAACCATGCATTCGGCCCCTCCTGAGTTTTCAGTTTTGGAGTGGAACGGTGGTCCTTTGCATGATCCCTTTTATACCCTTTCATGGAAGTTTGAAGTTGATGAATACTCTGCAAAAATGCTGCAGCTTCTAAATCGAAAGAGATGAAGAAAAAAATTCGTTCGCTTTGTCAGCCTGTTTGTTCTCAGTCTCCATTTCTAAGCATGATTGCTTTCTCTAATCTCTCCACTCTTTGGCGACGCGGTCATCGACTTCAGTAAGTTCTCCAGGAACAGAACCCAGTATCACAATGTATCACAGCCGGACGCATCGAAGAAAACCATCAGCCAAGTTTCCAAGCGTCGGCATCTTGATGGCGTCTGCTTGCTGGAGCCAGAGAGGCAGCGGGGGCGATGGCACGTTCCGGCGTGTTCCGGCGTGTTCAGATCTTCAGAGTTACAGGACATGGTTTGGGTATGTGTGGCTGCTCACTACCTCATACACCTGTCTGAAATTGTCTGAAACACCATTTAAAGGTGGAACATAACTGGTTCGGTCACTTTCGGATTTCTCAATTTCAAGCAAACGGAGCAAAGCCCGACAGCCCCTTGAAGTTTGTAATGGTGATTGTTAATTAATGAATAACACTTCTTTGCAGAGATAGGACGTCAATTCAAGAGCCTGCTTGCCCTTGTGGTCAAACTTGATGGCGCCATTGGCAGAATCCTGCAGTGGAAGAGCTGCTCTGTCTAGACTAGACCAAGAAAATGCCGCAACAACAATGAGCTCCGGGCATAGAACACCACCGAAGCTTTCACCTGCGAAAGTTCAGCGTCAAGGGCCTTTAGAATGACGACAAGGTGATTGTGTTGCAGGTGCGGCCGATACATTTTCGAGTCTGAGGCTGCAAAGGCTCCTATGCTGGACTACGTTTGAACATCAAAGTTGCAGTAAGTGCTGTTTCTGTTCATGTGCAAAGATTCGTACGGTATACGCATCATTTGTATTCATTTGTATTTATTGATCACGATTCTTCAATCCAGAAGTAACATGAAATAATCATTCTTCAGAAATCAAAAGCAAGTTTTCACATTTTTTCAAGAACGTCAAAATTCTCTCATGAGTGAGATGATTGCCCGCCAGCAGTAACGTTGCACCTGCTTCTGAAGCTCCGATCGCAAGTCATCTTGCGCATCAGTCGCGATAAAGACCTCCGTATGCACGGCGTATGCTGCTCTCTTCATGTCTGAGACCTTTGATGACCATTGATTGATGACGATTGTCTCCTTGCTAGCACTACGTGTGATCCAAGCTTCAAAGAGCCTCCAAAATTACCAGATTACCTGTCTTCAGTGAAATTTACTTCTCTTCTTTTCTTGGGTTGCGCCATGTTACGCCACCAAACCTTCAAATTCTCTCTCATTTCACAAATCTTTCACCGCCCAGCTGATTGCCAAGGCCTGTTGGATACCCTCCCTTAGCTGATGTTCACATGGCATAAGACGGAAGCACTGCTAGGGTCTCCACTGGAGTGGATCACAGATAAAACATCCTTGAACAACATAGTACCAAGATGTACCAATGCTTATCAAGGCACAATTCACCAATCTAGACATCTTGCTATGTAGTGCATCGGCAGTCCTTTCTGACGTCTATCTCACTATACTAGTTCGATCAGTTAGATCAGTTAGATCTGGTTAGATCTAGTTAGTGGATGTTAGTGGTACATCCAGCGTTCTTCCTTTGCAGCCTGAAAGCGAAGCTTGGCTCAGGTCAGAACTGTTCCAGCACCTCATTTAGTTTCCTGAGAGTTGCATCGAATGGCTGTGTGAGTGTCGAACACAAACACACACATGAAAATTGTTTAACAGTTACCAATTGGAATTCAGATTGAATTTAGACATATTTTGACCATTTGGCGTGACTGGCCATCCAATGACATTGAATTGAAGACTTGCCACCCAATGAAATTCGTGTCTGTTCACTGAATGCACCACAAGACAAGCCTGACGTATTTAAATGTATCGAGATGTGTTGCCTATCGTAGTGCCAAGATGTGCCGAGTATCATGGCAATGTTGCTGACATCTGGAGTCGTTTTTTCTCGTGCTCTCAAGAAGTCCTGGAGCCACTACCAAAAGCTGGACGCAAATCAGCGACGTGTCTCAACATGTCTCGAATCATTCGGCTTTGAGACCGGTTGTGTAAAGCGCGTTTTCAGTTGCCGACAACAAAATACTGATGTCGTCTTGGCAACTGGAATCACATGGAATCACATCCCTTCACAGCATTCCACCCCACCCTGGTCCGTGCGGCGGCAATGAGCAGCCAGGTACTTATTGCCCTTGAACGCATTCTGGATAAACCTCTCCCCAGGCATTGGCAGCACAGTATTTGTGCTACAAGTTCTTTCCTGAATCTCTTTGGATGTTTGTGCTGGTAGCTCTTTTATGGTCTTTGATATAACATATATATATATATTATATATTCATAATATATATATATATATTGTTTCACAGATTAAACAACCACAATGCAACAGCAATCACGCTTGTTTTCTTGAGCCATAAGCACAGTACAATATGGATGAATTAAGGTATATGTACAGTAGTATACATGAAAAACACCCCCCGCCGCCCGCAGATTCCCGCGGAGGACGGAAGGCCAACCACGAACGCCAGAAGTGACCTGAGAGCGGACGGGTTGAAATAAGACATCACTGTCCATGATTACCTACCATCTGTGCTATGTGGTCTCAGCTCGAATGCATGAAGCAAAATGAGAAAAGGTCGGGTGCATTAACTTTTCAATCCATGGCAGGGCACGTGCTTGAAGAGACACAAAAGTGAAGTTGGCCTGGCTTCCGCCAAGGCATAGGAACATTACCATTCCTTTCGACTGCCTTTGGTTCGGAAA